GGAGTGTCCAGTCAGTGTGTCTGTATTAACCCCTCTCTCTCTCAGTGCAGTGTTCATGTACTGGAGTGTCCAGTCAGTGTGTGTGTATGAACCCCATACTGTTACTCATTTACTACAGTATTCTGTCAGCTGTTTACATTCATGCACTTCTCTCTGCCCCGGTCAGCAATGGCGCCCTCTGCCAGTGTGGAGGCACCAGGCAGAGTCACGCGTCAGTGGCGACGGAGGACCACTTTGGCGCTGCCATCGTCAGCAAGTGGGACTCTGCCCAGCACACCACGGAGCTCCCCACGGACGCGTTCGGAGACGTGGAGTTCGCCGGGAAGAGTAAGAGGCTGAGCCATGTGAGTCCCTGCCACAGAGCTGGTCTAGAAGGAGAATCGTCTGCTTGGTTCCCAGAATCCATCGGCAGAGGGGGAGATGGGAGTCAGGGGTCCCCAGTCCTGGTTCTGCTGTCGGTCATTACTGGGAAGCGTCGCTCTGTGACGAATGATCCCGGCACTGTTGAAGGCTTCTCATCTTTTTTCTGTGAATGGGTGTCAACTAGACAAGCACGTGAGCGCTGCCTGTGGGTTTGTGTGTGTGTGCTGAGATCTGTGTGTGCGTGAAATCACCTACGAATGGTCATGCTGACAGCTGAGAGAATCGTGGCTCCTTTATAGTTGTCATTTATTTGTATAATTACAATAGATACAAAATAGGTCAGATTCTTCAGAGCTTCTGATTAAAGTATTATTACTGTAGGAGTTTTGTGAATTTACTGGGACAACTATTAATTGTAGCAGTAATCATAAGGTGACTCGTTATGGCTATTAGACAATCAATCGTCAGAACAACCAGCAATGCAGACACAGATTCAATACATGAGATCATTTTATTGAACGTTAATTGTGCACCAAATGCATATATATCAGTCTGCCTGGATACAGGTGGCAGATCTTACTGTGAGGGATGTCAGAAATGCAAGGTATATAATCACGAAGAGATTCAAACACAAAGAGATACACAACAGAGAATATACTGTAGTATACCATTTGGCTATACCATATTGTTGATCAGTCTCATTAACCACTGTTACACTAAGCTCGAAACTAAATGCATTACTCATGAATTAAATTGATGACAACTTGTGTTGAGGTAACAGATTCTCGAGACGCAATGTAGAGCATGGGGTTTAATTATCCGCTGTGTATGGGTTTGGATTTCCCGGCTCTGTTGCAACTCTGTCCCAGCGGTCGTCCAGTAGGCGTCGCCCTGGCGGTCTCCGGCTCCCGGCGACCCAGCCGAGCAGCAGCTGGGAGTCGGATGGAGGAATCTAACTGTGGCGCGCAGGGCGGTCGTTTCTCCCAGGGGTCTACCAGTAGTCCGGATGACTAGTAGAAAGTCTCTATGCACAGAGGGTGACCGCAGGTCCTCGCAAGTCACTCTTTAGACGGGAAGAAGACTTGTTCCTTCCCGGTCCAGCGCTGCTTCTGAATAAAACTATCCAGGTTGTCGACGAGGGTCCAGCTGTAGGCTGCTGTTGATCAGAAAGAAAACGCCTTAGATCAGACTGCATGAATAGCTTCTCTGTGGCTGCACCACAGAGATGAGAAAGAGAGAGATGGGGCCTCATTTAGCAAAGCACAGCAACACTTAATTCTGTCTTATTAACCAGCATTGCCGCTGCATTAGCTTAATGGAATAAATGTCATTCATAACTTTTATCACATTCATGTTTTCAGCATAATTTCAACGACTAGTATTGAATTATCGAGGTAATTCAAAACTCATCCACTGAGGTGCCATCGGGCGTTTGGTCCTCTGAAGAGAGTGACTGCACACGTATGCGCACTCGGAGTCCAGGGGGACCAGGGCCGTCTGCTGTGAGTTTTCTGCACGTGTCCAGAAGGGAGTTACTCTCAGGGCAGCGTGCCGGACTCTGGACACGGCAGGACGAGCGCTGGGCGGTCAGCGAGGCGGTTCTGAGGTCCAGCCTGTGTCTGTTGCAGTTCCTGCGGCTGTCCTGTAACACTGACCCCCAGAGTGTGTACAGGCTCATGACCTCGCACTGGGCCATCCCGGTTCCCAACCTGGTGGTGTCCGTGTGCGGAGGGGGAGGCAAGCTGAAGATGAAGTCCTGGGTGAGAGAGGTGCTGAGGCAGGGGCTGGTCAAGGCGGCCCAGGGCACTGGTGAGCCACTGGGAGGGGAGAGGGAAACTGGGAGGTGGAGGGGAGAGGAGACGGAGACTGGGGAGACTGGGAGGAGGAGGGGAGAGGAGAGGGAGACTGGGAGGAGGAGGGGAGAGG